ATATATATATATATATATATATATATATATATATATATATATATATATATATATATATATATATGTATGTATGTATGTATATGATAACACGAAATCGTATATATATTTTGATGCATAATTCAACTGATGTTTAACTGTTTTCGATCCGATTTCGGGTCATTTCCGTGTTATTTGTCTGATACTTTGCAGGTATTTGATGATCATGTCTAAACAAGGCAATATGAAGAAAAGAAGCAATCTCAGATGAAATATAGACGAAAACCGGATGAAAACAACATGAAAAACGCAGAATGCTAATTTTGCTGCTGTGACGACCGTCACAGCTCCATGACGACCGTCACACGGGTGACGACCGTCATGCAGGCAAAAACGCCCCACTTCAAATGCACGTGAGAGAAGCAGTTCCAAGTCCCAAATAGTGGACCACTACTCCCTGATAATTCTGCCTCAAAGTCCACCTTCTTCAAGTTATAACCGTTAGAATTCCATTTCTATAAAAGGGGAAGAAGGGGAACTCAGAGGGGGAGCCGCATTCAGACAACGAAGTGCTGCCAATTTATTTTCAGAGCAACCTTTCCAGTTTTTCTATTCTTATTTGTTTCTCTTTTCTTTTTATGCATTCCTTTGATATTCTGTAATTCTCATTTACCGTGTACGATCAATTGGCACAAAGACCAGAATCCTGCCAACATTTGTGGAGGATCTGCCCAAAGGTCAATTGGAATATTTACAGGTTTCTCATTTCAATCGTAATTCCAGTTTTTATTATGATGCATGCTATTATTTATTGTTTTTATTTATGTTTTACCTTTCCCAAATCCATGTCTAGCTAAATCAAAGTAATCGATATGTAATAATAATTCGGAAGGGATTTGATAATAACCGGTTGAAAACTATCTTCTTCAAAAGTTGTTTATGGTCTGAGTGTTTAAATTAATTTACTGAATAAACTTTGTCGCGAAAGCGAGAACTTATTTAAAAGTAGTTTTGCCACGAAAGTGGGAAATTAATTAAGGTACGAACCAACAAGCGAAAGCTGCGGCAAGACCAGATAGTAAACACTAGTCATTCATTTTAATAACAGCGAAAGCACTTTAAAATGAATTAGAATTTAGAGATTTCTAAAAAATAATTTTAACCCCGAATGGGACACGAAAGCGTACGTTTGGCCCTTAGAATTATGATTAGCGTCAATAACCATCGTGAGGCGAGAGTCTTCAGATCACCATTTTCTGCTTAAATAAACTCTGAAAAATATTTCGTATACCGGTAACTTGTCAAATCCCCGAAGAACATAATTACTGCATATCGATTCACTTAATTATAATTTAATTAACATCCTTAGTTCCCTTTAGTGACAATCTTATTCCCTCAAACATTATCTACCTAGCTAAACATAGTAACTCCCGAGGACACTAGTTTGATTACGAGTCCCTGTGGGATCGATATCTATTATTACTATGCGATAGACTGTGCACTTGCAGTTAGGTTATATTAGACATAGAAAGTCGCGATCAGTATACATTGTAATGTATGTTAGTGAGTGGTGATGTATTGTGGTAAGAAGTATAATATGGATATTCTATGTTATAGAAATATATTATATGCTTTGTTATTGTGTTAATATGCATTGTGGTGAGAAAATGTGGATTATATGTATTTTGTACTTGTGCATTTATATATGATTATGTGCATTGATTATTATGGTAATGTTTCTCACCCTTCTGCTGGAATGATATCCTTTATGACATCGTGCAGGTATCAAGGAGTTGTACTGCTAGTAGTTGCGAGTTCGCTGTTGGTGCAGTTGTTTAGTATTTTATTATGTTGGGTCAAGTCATGCTCTAGTTATGTAACACTGGGATCACGGGGTTTATGCCTTAGAGATATATTATGTATTCTAAGTTGTGTTTTAAATGTGTTTGAAATATGTGATGATAGCCTCTGTGCCTAAGTATTGATGATTATGTGATGAACATGAATATTCTGTGAAGAGATTTATGTAAATAAATTGAATCCGCTGCTACATGCAAGATGAAAATTTAATAGCATGACTATTTATTTCAATATTACATGAGTATGACAGGTGGATGTTGAGATTTGTAAATTATGTGACGCCCTTTTGTGAAAGCATGTTAATTTACTCTGATTAATTATGTATTTTTATGTGGGGTTAGAAGGGTGTTACACACAGAGCGGCGATGCTTTGCCGAGTCAGTTCTCTTTTCTTTTTCTTTTGTCCCTGAGCCTTTAGCTAGATAGTTTCAACACACCATTTTAGAGAGACAACAATGCGTGGATCCCGTCGAGTACGACGGACGTGAGGGGTGCTCATACCTTCCCCTTGCGTAACCGACTCCCGAATCCAGACATGGTTGCGATGACCTTGTCTTTCCCTTTTTCTTTAGGTTTTTGCGATCGTTTCCTTTCCCTCTCTTTGGGATAAATAACGAAAGTGGCGACTCTTCTGTTTTTCCGCCGGTTGTTTTTCGCAGTTGCGACAGCAGGATCCTCCCTCGACCCATGTGTATTGCATAAGACATATCGCCCAAAATTTCATGCGGGAAATCAAAGACAAAACACTAAGAAGAAAGGTTGTGAGCGCAGGATATGCACTAACAGAGCCCACATTTAAACACTACCGTGATGAGATCAGACTAACAAACACAAATGCATTAAGATGGATTGATAATACTAATAAAGAGAAATGGACACGGACATATGACAATGGGGTGCGATGGGGCCACATGACAACTAACCTCGTTGAATCCATGAATTGTGCTTTTAAGGGAATCCGAAACCTACCGATAACTGCCTTGGTAAAGGCAACATATTTTAGGCTAGGCGCACTCTTTGATAACAGACGTACGAAGTGGAGTTCAGTATTACAATTTGGTCAGCTGTACAGTAATAGTTCAACAACATTCATGAAAGACGAATCTGCCAAAGCCAACACACATGTCGTCACAATCTTTGACCATAATAAAGGTTGGTTCAGTGTTGCCGAGTCAATTGATCACAACGAAGGAAGGCCTAGGGGATGTTATCGGGTTGAACTGGATAGGAGCTGGTGTGATTGTGGGAAGTTTCAAGCATTTTGTATGCCTTACTCTCATGTTATAGCAGCATGTTCGAAGGCGCGCCAGGACCCAACCAACCTTCTTTCTGCAGTTCACCAAGTGATAAGTCTATGCAATGTCTACACATGTAGCTTTCAGGTGGTGGCAAAGAAGGACTATTGGCCTCAATACGAAGGCGAAATTGTCTGACATAATGATTTGGTGCGAAGAAAGAAAAAGGGTCGCCCTAACAAAACGCGCATTCGAACGAAGATGGATACCACAAACAAGATGGTAAGATTATGTAGTTCATGTCGGCAACCAGGACACAATCGTACAAAATGTCATAACGTAGGATCAAGCACAAGATCATAATGTCTAATGTAACCGTGTCCCTTTAAATCAATAGCAAATTTCATTCCATTTAAAGCATACTTAACCGATTACAATTAGCAAGCAACATAAATTAAACAAATATAACTTAATATCACAACAACATTCTGAAAATAACAACAACAAACCGACATAAAACATAACAATGCATCAAGGTGTCTACGATATCGCAACCATCAACGTTATCTTCTTTGGTGTTAACATCATCACAAGGACACCAACATCATTTTTCACTTTTCTCCATTCACGAGTAACTCCGTTTCTCCCTGACTCCTCGACCAACCTCTCAATTTTCCTAATCTTTTCACCTGCAACAATATCTCCTTCTAGCCAGCGGTTCAGTTCCCTATGCAAATGCTCCAACGTCTGCGTATTCCACAGTAGCACCTTCATCGGAGGCTTTGTTGCTGAAAAATAAACTAGGGCATTTCTTTTCATTAGAGGAAATGTTGGAAACGGTTCCTCTGATGATGATGACGACGATGAAGAATGTTGATTTAGAAATGCAGACATTCTAGACTCCACTCCACTCAAAATTATTAAGACTTTAGTCTTTTGGTATAAATTATTGTGAAAAATATATATGCGTGTGCAATCGTATTTATAGAAAAATAAAATAGTACGGACGTCATATGATATGCCTTAAATACCCTTACAAAATTTATATATTTTTTTCCAACAAATACCAAAATTTTACAACGTAAGATTTAAAAATATCAAAATTCAAAGGTGACCTACAATTATATATTTTAAAATTATATATTTATTCATATACGAATTATATTTTAAAATTATATGTTAATCATATATTTATTATGTTTTAAAATTTAAACCTATTTATATTTATTATGTTTAAAAATTATATACAAATATATTTATTATTTTATAAAACTATATCAAAAAATTTATAAATTATATTTAAACCAATTTTTATTATTTTATAAAACTAAAACATTAAACAAAACAAAATTAAAAACAAAAAGAAAAAAGTAAAAAAAAATTAGAAATCCTAACGAAAGAAAAAAATAAATAAAATGGACTGATTCGCCATATTATTTGGTGAATCCTTTAAAAAAAATTGACTTTTATTAATTCGCCAGCCTATTTGGCGAATCCATATATGCATTGCACTAATTCGCCATATCATTTCACGACCCAAGGTTAAATTATTGCCAATTTGAAAATAATTTCAAAACTTGTTTTATTTAGTATTTTATTTGAAAATATTGATATTTTAAGTAGTATATAGGATGCATTAAGAAATGCTATTAATTTAACAAATTTATAACAATCTTTTTATAGAAAAACCCACCAGCTTATGCTAACCATGTTTTGGTTTTGGGTTGAACCGGTCAGACCGTTCGGCCCGATTTTTAAACACTGTTAGCACGTGGCCCTATTTCGAGTTCGTCTTCCACACGCCCCCAATATCCACCTCATCGTTCTCTCTCTACTCATTTTCTTGCGGATTCATCGTTTTCACTGGGCATTCGCTCCGTTGATTCCTCCATTTCCAATCACTCATACTCTCCCAATTCTTCAACCACCATGTCTTGCCTCCTCCGATCAAGCAAATCTAAGCTCTTATCTTCCTCTTCTTCTCTTTCTAGAGCCTTCTCCTCCGTCCCCCGCTCCAACAACCAGATCGGATCCATCTCTCCCGCCGCCACCGAACTCTTCCACCGCAACTCCGCTACTCTTCCCATCGGTACCGATTCTCCAATCTCTAAGCAATTTCTGCAATTAATTCAATTATTTTATTATTTTACTTCATCGTTAAATTTATTATTATGCTTATTTCCGTTCTGTTTTCGAATCGCGTGCTTTTTATATTAGTTATGTGTGTGTTTCTATTAGCTGATGCTGAGTTTTCATGTTCTGATTTCTCATTTCTTTGAATGTGCATGTTATTTCAGTGGAAGAAAACTCTACCAAGGGATACACGACGGGTTTCCCCAAAAATCCGAAGAGTATGCTTGGTGGTAATTCTAATGTGATCAATTTTTTGGTACGTTTATTTTCTCATCACTTGCGTGTGTTTTTGTGTTCTATAAAGTGATTTTAAATTTTTAGCTATAGTACGTGGAGTGGAATAGGTTTATATCTACCTTTGTCTCATAATCGCTTATGTAATGTTATATCTTATTTATATTTCCTTTGTAATAGAAGTTGTCTGCAGCACCGACAACGCTGAAAAAAGATGTAACTGTATCAATGTCCAAAATCGATACCGACACTTGTGATTGCGCTTAATTTATTAGTTTTCTTAAAATTAGTATCAGGGATGATGTGCCAGTGTCGGTGTTGGTGTCGTGTTTCTGTTGTCCGTGCTTCATAGGATGTCTTAGCAAGGCAATAGCATAGGGGAATTTTAATAAACTGCAATAAGGTGTTATTGCTGTTGCTACATTACAATTAACTGATGAGATGTTTTGTTTTGAAAATATGTGGTTTTTAATTAATGTATAAAAGCAGTGTGTTTATTAATGTTATTGATTTTAATTAATGAACAGTTTGCATTTGTATATTTTTTATACTCTCCCAAGTTCTTGTAAAATATGAATTGTTAGAGATACAAGTTCATTGCCACCTTTAATGCTTAAGTTTATCTGTGTTGAACTACCTTTGGTTCCTTATTTTCTTGTGTGTCTAGTACTTATTGATAGTTAAAAGCTGAGCTATGGTTATAATTATCAAATTCATTCATGTCTACTATGTTTTCTTTATTATCTTTATTGATGTTTTCCATGAAATTTGGCAAGTGTGTGCTGAATTCAGCCAATTGAGTTTTTGGTGCTTCAAGATTGCCTTGTCCATCTATAGAGAAACTTCTCTGTGCTTTCTATAACATTGTCTGCAAATTCTTCCCTTGAGACTCTATTCTCACTAATTAGATACAAGGATGTAGTAATATAATGGAAGTAAAATATGACAGAGTACCTCTAGCTGCTTTTCCAATGTCTTTTGAATTTCAATTTTCTGCCTTAGTGCTCCTGCTATTGGGATTTCTCTTATTGATTGTGTAAACTAGTTAGAAAAGGAGAAACTAAACTTAACAGAGATTGTGAAATTTAGCACTACCATAGTTTTTCACTTAAAAGTTAGTACTAGTACCCTGAGATTTTTAAATCTGATGCCATTCATATTGTTTGTATGTGGCTATTCTACATGGTCTACATATTTATTATTCTCATCTTTCTGTTTTAAAATATGATGGGATTTGCTTTCTTTCTATTTTGTCGCTTTCATGATTATCAGTTCCAAAAATCTGACTATTTAATCAACAAATTGTGGTATGTCATAATTTTTGTAATACTATTTTTGCAGCAATTTTAATATGTGAAAGATGAATAATTTTTTTTTTTTAATTTAATTTAATTTAATTTTTTTAATTTCAAATAAAAATTACTATTCAAATACTTGTTTTTCTGTAAGCACTGTTCAATGCACATCCAAGCACAAATAGTTAATTCAACATAAGCTCTCATGCAAAGAGCTCTTATGTCATAAGCATGATTGTTGGCTAATGGAAAGTAGTCAAATACCAATTCTAACTAACAACTGGAACCAGATTTCTCACTTTTTCTTCTGTGCATGTCTCAACTATCTAGTCTTTCTTAGATTATAGAGACTTGTGTCTTGTTATTGCAAGCATTACTTGATATTATGATAGGGTCAGACGAAGTTGTGAACTGTTTATATATCAGTCATATATGCTCACACAGAATATATATCATCTAAAAGATGTTATAATATGTATATATACCTATTAAGAATATTGTGTTTTGGGAAGGCCATGGCCTTCCTATCTCCATAAAAAGATCCCTCACTGCCTAGTCCCATCTTGCATGGAATATAGTTTATTTTCCTTCCTTTGTTCTAGAACTCAAAATAATGAATAAATGTATTGATCCAGATAATGTGAAGCATAATCACTAACTTTTCTTAGTTCTATAAATTTCTAATTGCTATGGAATTGTTCTCTTATGTCAGAGATACCAGGCTCTTGGACTGAACACTAATGTGCTGGCTGGAAAGAGTCCAATGCTATTGGTGAGTTACTTTATCATTTGTGAATCGAGTCTAATCTATTTGGCTTTCCTGATGTGGTTGATGACATTTACATTTCAATAGGGAGTCAGTGCTCTGATGGCAAGAAACTTTGAGAGAAGTGTGGCTGCTGACACGTTGGGACTGGCTGGTCAGAGACGTTTTATGAGTGACATCCCAAGTAAAACCAGTGAGATAAAGCCGCCTTCCGGTTTTCGCCCATTATCTCCTCATCTTCCTGTTTATCAGCCCCAGCTTTCTTCAACGCTTTCAATTTGCAATAGAATTGCTGGAGCTTTCCTAGTTGCTGTCACCTTGCTTTTTTATATGATATACATGAAATTGGGTTTGGTTAGTCTCACCTATGATTCATTCTACCAGTTTGTATTCTATTCATCAAAACTCCACCTACTTGCAGTAGAGATTTCTACCTTAGCTATGTCTTATCATCTGTATAGTGCAATTCGTCACTTATTCATATGATATCACAGTCACAACTGATATCTGAGCAGTATGTTTGATCCTAAGGTAATTTTATCTCTTTCTTGATTCATATTTGATTTTTTTGGTCGCAAAACATTTATTCAGCTTTTGAAAATTATGCTTCAGTCCCTTGTTTTTGACATAGATTAATGTTATATTTTCAGGTGGAACTTGCTTGCACATGTCATAAGACTTCATCCGTCAAGCACTGTGAATCTTCTTTATGTAGTTTTGCTATTACCAAAATAATAATGATAACTTAGAATTTCATGTTTAATGCTGAGCATAACTACACCTGTTTTGCATCTGAGATTTCAGTGATGTATATTTTTGCACCCCGTCAAGTTGCGAGTAAGTGTCGCATTCAATAAAGCATTTGAGTTTAGTGACTCATGTAATACATTATCTCATATTTGTCTGATGTTGTTTAAAATTTATTTTATTCAAGGCATTGTTTAAAGTTTTATATTTTTCTATGCACATGGAAGAAATAACACCACATTCTAGAGAGAGAAGCTCTGCCTTCTCTCTACCTTTTTCCCTATGAACCTTCTATTAGAGTTTTCTCCTCCATTATTTGGAGACCCTTTTCCTCCCTAGTGGAGGCCTCACTCCCCATTCTTTGGGGTTTGCTCTTGAAAACTCCAATGTTCCGTCCATCTCTCCATTACTCCATTCTTCCACAGCCCCCATAACCGCAGAACACATCATCAGTCTCTCTCCCACATCTGTCATAGCTCCTCCCCAGGTAGAGAGATCACCATCAGAGCCAGCCCCCCTGCCTCCCTCCTTCACGTGGCTCCAACGCACACAGATCTGAGGCCATTCCTGCCGCCAACAAAGCCACTATGGCATCTTCTAGGTTTGTTGTTATATTTAGCTATTAGGTTAAATCCTTATGTGTATTTGTGGTGGTGTTGTTATTTTGTCTTGTGCACTGTTCTGCATTTTGAGCTTGTAGTTTTTTTGTGTGCACACATGATGTTTGTTAGAAAGGCTCAATAATGCATGGTAGTTTGGAATGATATTTTGTGGCTACATTTTGTTGTGGTTATTACCGGTAATCTCATCTCTGCACCAAACACATGGATTTCATATTTGTGGTGTATTTGGTAAAAAAAATTCGAAACTGAATAGAATCAAAGACTGGGAATCTTCTCTTCTCCTTTGCCAATGACCATTTGTGGGTGATGTCAATTTGGGTTCTAGGTTTTAGATTTTTTTTGGGAAACTTCTTTTGAATACCGACTTCTCAGTATCATATTGTTCAAGTCTTAGTTTGTTTGACTGTTACCTTTAAAGCGTGGGTGAGAAATGCCCCAAACACATTATTTTCATCTGTAATGCTCTTAATTTAATCTATTGAAGAAACTTATTTTCTGTCCAAAAATGCGTGTACTTTGACGTAACATGATGAGGAATTAAATTAAAGTGAAGTGAGTAATGAAAAACAAGTTAGAAGTTATGTGGAAGATGTTTTTGAAATGCCACTTAGTTTAAAGGAGAACAAAATATAGACACGAATGAGGAATGACTTCAATAACTTGTTCAATCGACTGGAGGGGAGGGGGGAAATTTTAATTACATATATGTTTGGTTCAAAATATCAAAGGGGAGAGGAGGGGAGATATTTTATTTACAAATATGTTTGGTTTACAAGAGAAAATGAGGTATCCTTCTAATTTTACCATAAGATTATTAATATTTATCGTTTATAATTCAAATACAAATTTATTGACGAAATATAAATATTCAATCAGAGATCATCATGAAATATTTTATAAAAATGCAACTATTATAATATATAATTGGCTAAATTATAGTTTTGGTCTCCCTATTATTATAAACAAAAACATTATGATAACTAAAATTAACATTAAAATATGAAAAATAAAATAAAAATTTTAAACAAATATAATGATATTAAAATGAAGATATAAAAATACAAAAACTAAAAAAGAAAGATTAAATTTGTTCAAAATAAACTTTTAATATTGTTATAAGCTAAATTTATATTCAAATAAATAATAAGAATAAATATGTTGACATAATTATAATTAAAATTAAGCACCTCCCCTCCATCTACCTTCCCTTTCCCTTTTAAAATTTGAACCAAACACATAAATTATTAAACACATAAATTATTAAATATTCCCTCTCCTCCCCTCCCTTTACACCAACTCATGTTAGTTGATTCTAGTGATTTATTTCATTAATAATTTTCTTATATACTTATATTAAAATAATATTATATTTTAATTATTCATTTACTAAAGTAACAAATTTTTTATGTATTAAAATAATATATTTTAATTATTCATTTATTAAAATAACTTGAGTTATCAAAATCATGGAACAGGAAAGTCAGAGGAAGAGTCTGGTCGCATAACATCATTAGATGCATTATATCGCATTTACCTTCTAACATTTTAAATTAGACAGAGTTGCATTGCAAAGTTACATTGAATGATTATTAATGTATTCATATAGGAAAAATAATCATTCATAGAGCAAGAAATTGTAGAATCAAAGCCTCATCCAGCATAATATTCATCTCACTTTAATTAGTTTTTTATTTCCTAAAGCCAAATTAAGCCCCTTTAATTGATTTAGATATCAACTCAAACTGCTACATCAACTAAAAAGAAAAATTAATACATTAATTTACCAAATTAAAACAACATAAAAATTCATTATAATCATTTATACAAAGTTATCATTAACAAAACATATCACTACTAATTAAATGTAAATTTTAGGTCAACCGAAAAAAATCGATATTAATAGTTTGAACATTATCATCAGAATTCAAACTCTATTAATTATGTTTGTGTGAACTTGTAATGATCATTACCATTTTGTCTACGGACAAAAATAACATATCACTACTAAATTAATCGATCTTCTGGAATGCTTTCTAAAGTAGGCTTCCAAGAATCGACACCCAAATCATGTTTACAAATTTTCACTCCTCTTAACCTCATAACACCAAGTAATTGCTCCAATGTAGTGTTCTCATATTCATCTTTGCAACTCAACATCTTTTTCAACTCTTCTTGAGTCATCACCACTCTAATCCTCCTCACATTTCTAGAATTATTACCATCACTTCTTCTATCAACTTCTTCATCATTTTGTATTTCAAACCTTACTTTCTTATTCTTCTTCATGCATTTTTCTTTCCTCGGCTGCGGCTCGAACTTCGACGATGAAGATGTTTTCATCTCCTCAACTTTTGCTTGATTATTGTAGCTTTCATGATCATCTTGTGCTAATATTTTGTTGTTTGTGAAGCAGTTTCCCATTGTAGCAATGAAGCATACAACTCAATAAGAGATTGCTATTTATAAAGATTAATATAACGCGGAGGAAGGGAAAGCACATGGAGTAACCGGTTGTTGCGCCGGGTGATTGAGATAAAGTAAGCGGGGATTCTCTTGCTTCATAAAACCAACACATTATAAATATGTTTTTTTTTTTCTTTTCAATTCCCTACTTTGTTTCATAGTACTGTGCGAATAATGTACTAGTCTACTCTATCTAGCCACCTCTTACCGTTACGTTACAAAGATCCTAAAATTTTCTATTAATTAAAAATAGAGCAATGAAATAATTTATATTAAGTGACACAATTATTTTATTAATTAATTTCATAAAATTGTGTTAGGTCAAACTTTAATATGATAACACATTTCGTTTATATATTTTTAAAAGGTAAAGCTTAAAGTTAATATAAAATTAAATTACACACAAACATTTGGTTATATCTCACCACATATAATAATGAGATATATTTTAAAATGTGTTACCGCATGAATATAATGTTTATATGCTCCATATTTTTTCCATCTCAAAAATTTCAAGTTTGAATACCACACTCTATTTTCTATGGACAATAGTTCTATTATAAGAAAAAAAACTCTTAATGCATCCAATATGTTAATTAGGCAATCTGGGAAAAGACTTAAATGTTTTTAGATTTTAAAAATGTATTTTCAAACTTAAATTAGCGTCAAAATACTTTGGAGATGTATCTTTAAATTTATTTCGGAGATGCATTTCCGAAATTATTTAGAGCTTATATCGTTCCAAAATCATTCTTCTTCCTCACTTCATCAAAAACTTAAAACTCTCAATTTTTTTATCACCAACTCCAAAATCAAACAATCAAACTCAAAGAGTCATCAATCAACATCAGAAATATCATCCAACATCGAAGCAAAGTGAAAATCTATTAGTTTTTGATGTTTTGACAAGTTTTTTTTGAGTTCTTTTTAACAGTTTTGGTGTAAATGAGTAGAAAATGATAATTTAGGTATCAAATGAGGAGAAAATGCTATAACTTAGTTTATACATGCTGTATAACTAGTTTGCTTGTTGAAAATCATGATCAAATCGAAAATTTGAGGTTTGCATTTCTGCATTGCCATCATTGAAGAACTGAACAGTTGCAAAAATTTCGGAGATGCATCTCCAAAATTATTCAACGTTTGGATTCATATTACCCGGAGACACATCTCCGTAAATTATCAGTGTGTGTGTGTGTGTGTTTTTTTATTTTTAATTTTCTTGTTTGTAGTGTTACTTGCTTGCACTAATTGTCTATTTTACTTTAACTTACAAGCATTTTGGCTAATAGACACGATAGAATGAGGCATAAGAGAATTGCACAACATTCATCAGTGTGGCGGGAGAAGAGTCAGGTTTTAGAGGCTCATGTTCACATTGGCCATGCAAAGACATCTACTTCTGAGACTCATACTTCTCCGTCTTCTTCTTTCCGTAGGAGACGAGTTTCACCTACCGATGCACCACTCCTCCATCCTATCGCAAATGCTAGGTTTCACCTATTTAGGCACCAGAGGTACCCGAGTCACCGGTGCCACCTCCTACTGTTGATGTTACTGAGCTAGTTTCACCTCCTACTGAGCCAATGGCACCTCATACCGTTGATGCTGATGAGCTAGTGCCACCTTTGGAGGCTGTTGAGGATGCTGAGTCAGGGGCATTTGGAGGAGGCCATGTAGGTTTGTCACTACTGTCTCTGTACCCAGACCATACTGCCAGACATATCTAGGACGAAGATGTAATATTAGTTAGATTCATTTTTTGTAAATTTATGTTTATTAATATAGCACAAAGTTTCTTACATTGATTTTTATTTTTTACAGGACCGTGATCCGCTGAAGTTTATTAACCACAAGCGAAAGTTTACTGGCTTGCCTCTGCTAAATGAGAAATGGTTTTAGATAGCTTTTTCCCTATCTAGGATGAAGGACTTGTGCATGACCGATTATATTACGATAAACCACGAGATGCTTCATGCATTCGTAGAGAGATGACACTTAGGGACCTCGACATTTCATCTTCCATATGGTGAGATATCTATCACACTCGACGATGTGTCGTACTTGCTACATCTTCCTATCAAAGGAAACTTCTAGATCATTAGAGGATTACTAAAGATGAAGCACTCGAGATGATGTTAGACAGTTTGGGAGTTGGCCCAGCCGATGCGATTGAGGATTTGGATAGAACCAGAGGCGCTCATGCTAGGTTTGAATTCCTGAAAAAATGTATACACATATGAGATCATTAGTACACAATAGGGCTACAAGGGATGACGAGTAGGTGGGGCTCCATAGAACGTATGCTATGAGAACATACCTGCTATATTTAGTTGGCACTGCGATTTTTATGGACAAGTGTGCCATTTATACATATGTCGTCTACCTACGATACTTCAAGGACTTCAAGCATATCCATGAGTACAACTGAGGGTCTTCTTGTTTGGTCTACCTATACTCGAAGCTATCATAGGGATGTAGGTGGAAGACGAAGCAGGTCACCGGTAGCATCACACTACTGATGGTAATATTTATTGGTCTTTTAATCTTTCTGTGTCATTTTTATTTCATCGTTGCAATGCCATTACTGATGATCCGTGTGTTCCAAAATTTTCAGGCTTGGATCCTCAAGTACTTCCCGCGTATCTCCAGCTGAGCGAGCGTATCGACTTACACTAAGGATATGTTGTATGCTATTGCATTTTCCCCATTCAGAGGGAACCCGATGATATAACCGTTCATAGCGTATCTGAACTGTTTAGTTGCCGAGGACATGCATTTCAACAGTTATGCGGATCACTTTGAGACACGACCGCTTGAAAAGATAGTGTTATGCCTGAGATGGTTGGTCTGCAGATTACGTCTTACTGCTCCTCATCTGCTCGAGCGCGAGATGCAGTAGCTCGGCTACACTCAGACCATTACCAGACAACACATTGTCTCTCCTCTTCCTACTTTGACATGTAGACAAATAGATGCCATGTTTAATGATTATGAGAGTCATATGGTACCAGAAGAGGCACATAATATCATCGTTGACAGCGAATAGAGCTACATCAACGGATACATCAAGTGGTTCTTCAGGGTGCCACATCCGTATATAGTGCATGCTGTTTTAGGAGATCCATCGAGGCCATCTCATCCGGAGATACTAGAGAAGGAGCAGACACAGTTAGATCATGCCGATGATGTCTTGCTTAGATGTTGTCGCATAATGGAGATTGCGTAAACATGCATTGACAAAGGTATCTTTCCTGATGGGTATGATGTGAGGCAGGTCCTAGATGCAATCATGACAGAGGCACAGAGGAACATTGATGTACCAGAGACAACATTGGAGAACAGAGGGGGTTGATGGCCAAGGAGCCATAAGAGGCAGAGGAGGCAGAGGGGATGGAGTCCAATATACACAATAGTGCAGTAATATATAGTAGTTGTACTTTGTATTCATTTTGGATTGTGTTTTATTTTCACCTCGTGCTACTTTATCATTGTTTTTGACATTATTTATATATGACATTTTTCGACCATCTAGATTTATATATGTCATGTTTTGTATGTCAATTGTATGATTTAAATTTCGTCACATAATATTGTACATAACACTTATAAATATTTATATGAATATCCATAAAAAAAACATAACACATACTACTATGTTCTGATACGTTATGGAGATGTATCTCCGCAAAATAAACGGAGATGCATCTCCGGTATAATAAACTTGTAAAATGACTTCTGATTGTGATGCATGGTATATGTTTTAAATTGTTAAGAAAATGCATCTCTGGTTCTTTTAAAGTGTGAACGTTCGTCTAAAGGTGCATCTCCAAAATCTGGGGGCATTTAAGTATTTTCACGTGTTGCCTAAGAAATATATAGAGTGCATTAAGAAATTTTCAAAAAAAAATTGAAGAACAAAATATAAATTGTGATATTTCTTTTGGCGAATCTCAACCTTTAAATTCTTTGGAAAATTTCGATATGTTGGATCAAAAGGTAAAAGAGAAATGAATAGGCAATAATTGTAATTCACCCACATTTTAAGAAACTATGGGTTGAAGATAAAGTGAAAAAGGGACGTTTTTATATAAAATTTAGAAACTTTTTAACGGATAAAAAAGCCTGGTCTATGCCTCTTTAAGAAATAGTTTCTTAGCCGTTGTCTATTCTTCTATTGCCTAAAGTAAAAAATGTTGTAGTGTCATATGATGAATTTTGAGAATTTTCTCTATGCTATTAATCGTGTTGTAAGCATCTTCATTCCACAACATCCAACTTCATCAAGATTGGAATCAGTGAATCACAGATTTGTCATCACTTTAAAGTTATTGAATTCTCATTTCGTGAGTGTTTCACTCTCAATTACAAATTATTTTGAGTATTTTAATCTCTAGAGTGTCTTTATTACCATGGTTTTTTTTATCTTTTTGTTTTTTATATTTATCACCAAGAAGAAAATCAAATTCTTCTATTAGCCCGTTATTTGGAATAAAACTTTCGAATCCAGAGGAGCTCCGACAATAAATGCTGAAACATTTTCACTGTATTTTATTTAGATCGACGTCCGGAGATTCATTAGCAAAGACAAGTTCCTACTCAAATTTCTTACCATTTTTTCTCCTCCATTCACAACTTAGTTACAATAAGGAGGTTACTAAATAGATTCACTAGTGAAATGGAAGCATTTTCACGCACATGCTCGTCATTGTTGAAACTAACAAAGAAACTGTTAGAGGGGATATGCAAAATTAAATATGTGGAACCACCAGTGAGATTTTGATGAGTACAACCATCTCTCTTTGTGGAAGTGTGTCTCAAAATCTTAAGTGATGAAGAGAAAGAAAATATGTTGAGAGATTACAAAAAACTAAGACCACAAAAAAGCAGTAGTAGAGAAGTCGATTTAGATGTCAGAGCTACAAAGCAAAAATCCAGCGGGTGAGAATGGATGGTTT